CTTGATTATTTGAGCGAGGCAGAAGTGAGGCTGCTGATTACCTTCATGAAGAGGCAGAGATGGCACCGATGATACCTTGCAGAGTTCTGTGCATGCATAAATGCTTCTTTAACAACAATCCACGAATTGCCCCGTTGCTACTAGAAAACTTTAAAGGAGTATATCAATTTCCTTTTTAGAAAAAAGGGTATTTCTATTAGCAAGGCAACTTACAAATACTTAGAATAAAAGGGAAAACTCAAGGCACCTTGTAAAGATCTTACCATTCACTTCAGTTATTCTGGTGATTATTTTTTAAAGGTGCTAAGGAAGAATGGGCAGAATGAGCTCCAAAGACTGTGTGGAGATTTAAAGTGACTTCCAAGGCATGATACTTTTCAATGCAGATATTTTTTAAACAGAACCATCAAATGGCAGTAAATACTAATAGCAGGAGGTTTAATCTAGGACTATTTTATCCTTGGTTAACTTCCAAAATTGCCAAGAGAAAAATGATGCTGAAAGCCAGCAAAAGTAAGCTCTATCTTTTCTGCGATTAATTTAACAATGAAAATTCCTGCCAGAAATACTTTCTTATGAAATGAATAGCTGGAGGAACCAAAGATCAGACCCAAATTCAATCATGTACCTGAGAGTCTGAAACTACTGTCATAAGGTTTACAGGGGATTCTGGGAATTACTTTGACATATTTGTAAAAACTTAGAGTTCCATAACAATGTACTATACAAACCAGGATAGAAAGTCATAGAAATCTGAACAACAGCCAAGAATACAAGGGGGAAAAATCAATAAAATGTCTCTAGAGTAAAAAATTGCTTTGAGTCAGTAATTTGAAATATTGTGGAAAGCTACAGGAGGGAAACTACTGCAGCGCCAATAAGAAACCTCTCGGCTTGGAGATCACATGAAGTGGGGATAGCTTGAAATCATTTTCCAAGTCTGCACAGTACAAGTTAGGTCGTAGGTTTTTGAATAGTAGCATGCTTGCCCAAGGAAGCCACTGTTGCTTCTAGGGCAGATTCACTTAAAATTAAAGAACAGTTGAATATCGAAATAATCAGTCTTTAAATCTCAGGCCTTCTTGTTGCAGAGAGATAATGATTGTTACAAAAGGGAAAAGTCAGTCAATGGAGATTTTGTGTATTTTGCATAACGTCACAAATGGGAATTCGATTCTAACCCTTCCATTTCTGACTGATTTCACTCTTCCAGTTCACATTGTCTACTTGTTTTTTTAAAACATACACTTAAAAATAAATGAACTTTTAAAAAATAAAAACAATCTAAAAAGAACTAGTCACCGGATCCATATTAGTAATAACATCATAATACTATTATTTGTACCTCAAAATGATAGGTAAGTGGGTAGGTAGATGGATGGTTGGATGGACGATGGGTGGGTGGATGGATGAATGGGTGGCTGGATGTATAGGTGGGTGGATGGGTAAGTAGGTGGACTGATGGCCAGTATCTAAGTTTATCCTTCTAGTATCCCTATAAGATAAGCGGCATCTTAAAACAGCCGTCGTACATCCAAGATTTGAACCAGATCTCTGAGGCCCAAAGTCCACATTCGTTCCGTACTCTTTGCATCCTCTCTGAGTGGTAATGCAGAATGGATAATTATAACATTCTATAGAGACCTAAAAGAAACAAGTGCAAGAGAGGCTTAGCACAGTGTCAGCCATCCAGCCATAGAGCCATCCTGGGAAACTACTTTTTTTTTTTTTTAACATATACTGACAAGTTTACCCTACTGTGCACACAGATTAAATAATAATAATAAACTGCTTTTGACAGGTGTCTTTCTAAAATATATTATATCCCTGTCTTCTTAAGCAGAACACACCACTCATGATGACACCTCTCGCTGATGAATCAGGTGATGATAATAAATACGTTCCTCCACTGTGCGGCTTTCAGGAGCAGTTAATGGTGAGCAGGGTTATTTGCATTCTCACAATGTAGGCACAAAAGGTTGTGCTTGTTCTGTTTCTCAGACCTACTTTTAATGAGTCTATTTCACCCATGCTGCTTGCTATGATGTGCTATTTCTTTAAATGTGTCAATCTTCCTCCTAACTTCCTGCTCATAATCTACAGGGAACTAGACACCAGCATCACAGTTTTGTGGCACTCTAAGTCAGAACAAATCCGCTGTAGGTGAGAGCCTGTCATTTTTGCTAATTTCCATTTATTGGCTGTATTCTACCTCAGTTAGATTGCCAGATAATTGAATTTTGAATAGGCAAGATAGTATTGTACTCTTGCCTAATACTTTGTAAAATAAGTTTTATTTAAGTATAATGTACATATAGAAAAGTGCATGAATCATAGGTCTATAGCGCAATGATTTCCAACAAACAGAGCACACCTTTGTTAGGTGTACCCAGAAAACAAACAAGCCAACACAGTATTACTTGTTTTATCCTTTTCAAAGTATTCTCATATGTGCCATTTCACTACAGTCATTGCAACACTCTTATGAGGCTAAAAGGTTAGGTGTTATCTGCAATTCGACAAATGTGGAAAATGAAGTTTGGTATTTAGCTTCGCTGATTTCTGAAATCAGAAGGTGCACAGCAACGATCTAATTCTAGCGTTCCAGTGCAGGAATCGTCCATTATGCTATCAAATTTACTCAGAAGATATGATATGGCAGTATCACTTCTAATGTCAAATTGTGGACAAGAGTAGAGTGAATATTCTGTTGGCACCACAGACGCCAGCGGTTGCAGCTTACTTCGGCTGTGGCTGTCCAGTGTCCCTGCCATGCAGGTTGTTAGCCATTTTCAATTTATTCTCTGGGAAATCAAATGTCAACACAGTCCCTTGAGGGGAGGAAGGTGGCAGAAATCACGGCAATTATACCAGCTTTCCAAAGGAAAGTGATGGTTCAAAGCCTAGATGCTTTCGCCTTCTCATTTCTTCCATTCTCTTCTTCCCATCATTTCATCCTTAAAGCCAACAAAATTCATTTAGCTGAAATGGGAGGTCAAAATCATCAAAACTTTTAATAAGCATACCAAAACTTACATTTGAATCAGCTATCCTTATCACTGTTTCCAATCACCATCCATTCCAGAAATTCTCAAATGGCTTGAACTGCACATGTAAACAAAAAATCCCTATTACAAAAATACGAAACTTCTAAAGTTGTGTGGATTAAAGCTCACTAAGGGTCTCCCCTTAAAGCTACAGGAATGTAGTATTTTATGGATTGTCCTCTTAAGAGCATGTCTTAGCAAATAAAATACAAAGTGTATGTAAGGAGCGCTTTTCTTAAGTTCTTCTTCAGAAAACACAAGAAGTAAAATTGTTCAGGTGAGAACACATTTTACTTTTCATTTTATTTTTTTGAGATGGAGTTTCACTCTTGTTGCCCAGGCTGGAGCGCAATGGCACGATCTCTGTCACTGCAACTTCCACCTCCCAGGTTCAAGCGATTCTCCTGCCTCAGCCTCCCATGTAGTTGGGATTACAGCCGTGTGCCACCACCCAGCTAATTTTTTGTATTTTTAGTAGAGACAGGGTTTCACCATGTTGGCCAGCTGGTCTCGAACTCCTGACCTCAAGCAACCCACCCACCTTGGCCTCCCAAAGTGCTGGGATTACAGGCGTGAGCCACCACGCCGGGTGGTGAACACTTTTTAAATGAAAGGTTCTGCAGGATTCAAACTTCCCAAGTGCTGCAGCTGCTGACAGCAAGGAAGCAGGGCGGGCTCTGGAGGCAGCTCTGGGAATTCAGCCCTGCTCACACTTCCAGTCCCTGCAACAACCTGCAGCCTCAGTTTCTCCTCCGTAAGGCGAGTTCAGAATATGGCACCGCACACCACAAGGATGCCCTGGGATGAGTTAACCCAGCGCTCCCAGCCTGTTGGTCCAGAGAAAGCCGTTTTTGTGGGTAGGAAGGAATGAGCCTCTTCTGGAAAGCAGAATTCCTCCAGTTTAGATCAGTCACCTACGAAGTGAGCTTATTTATTTACTAACTCACACTCAATTCACATTACTAGGTGCCTAACTAATTCTCAAATTACGAACTGCAAAAGCATTACGGGGGGTGGGGAGAGGCAGGGGTGAGTCCCCCCAAAAGGAGCTAAACAAAATTAGAGCTTTTCTTAACTACCTAGTTAAAACAAAAATATTGATCTTGGCACACATTTAAGTGCATGTTTCCTTCCCCACACCTTCTCCCAAAAGTGCCTCCAAATACAAAACTAGTTTCTTCAGAGAACCAAGCATCTAATCATCCCTTAGAGGTCTGAACATCCAGTATCCTAAGAACAAACTGTCCACAGGTTCCCCCCAGAACAAACCAGTTCAGTGGATTGCTGGAGGAAAAAGCAAGTTTAACTCAAGCACAAAATTATCTGCAGTTGCATATGATATGTAAGTGTACTCTTTCTGCTCACGCCTGGCTACCTGCCTCCTCTAACACAACAGCTTCCGTTTTTAAAGTGTCAACTTGTTTACTTGGAGGAGTCGCGGCCTGCCGGACACAGCACGTTTAGGGGCCTTTTTTCCACTGTAGGCTGGTAACGGCAGACTACTCTGAACAACAAAACCACGGCGGCTGCTCCAGCGTTTTGCCAGCTTCTGTGTTTCCACATTTTAACAATGTTAGGAAAACTAAGTCACATGTAAGACCCAGCAGTTGATCATTTCGTTGCAGAGGCTGCTTGAGGAGCTTTCTGCAACCTGGACCTGATGCTTCTCAATCTAGGAAAACTCAGACGGGACAACCAGACGGGAGTGTCCCCATAGGAAAGAGAACGCGACTCTGGCGGAGCGTCCCATCTCTTAGGGGCTGCGACTCCGTGTCTTAGAAAAAGGCACTTGCAGTGGGCAGGCTGGAGGAAGAGTCCCCTCTACTAAGAAAAGTAACTCCGAGTCCGCAGTGTCCAGGAAAAAGAACCCGGGGCTGGGGAGGCTGGCTGCGGGCGGAGGGGCGCTGGCTGCGGGCGGAGGGGCGCTGGCCCCGGGGGCGGCGCGGGCCCTACCTGCGTTCCTGAGCTTCTTGTTCCGATACACCGACAGGATGACCAGCAGGTTGCCCAGGACGTCCACCACGATGGTGAAGATGAGGACGCAGGCCAGCGCGGATGCCAGCCACGAGGGCTGCGGCCGCGCGCCGTCTCCGCCGGGCCCGGGCTGCGAGGCGTTGGGCAGCGCGCTGCCGTTGCCCGGCATGGTCCCTGGGCGCGTCCCGGCCGCGGGGCCATCGCCCGCCTGGCCCGCCCGCCCGGCCACTTTTTAAGGCTCCGCCCGGCGCTCCCCGCGCCCACGCCCCCGGACGCCCACGCCGCACCGGACGCCACGGCCAGGTGACACCTGGTGTCCGTCGCGAGCCCGCTTGGACTCCCCGCCCGCGGCTCGAACCCCGCACCACGGGCCGACAGCGCCCCAGTGCGGGAAGCCGGGCCCAGCCGCCGCGGGAGGGAGCTGTGTCCCAGGGGCCTCTCCTCGTGGGCGCACAGCGAGGCCGTTCATTCACGTGTTTCTTCTCTGCGATGGGACTGTGCACCCAGCAGGGCCAGGCTGCCTGGGCTCAAATGCGAAATGGGATTGGGGCGAGTGCCCCAGCTGTGTGCCCCACTGCCCTTATCTTCTGCAAAATGGGAATAAAATACTATCTCACCGGTTAGCTTCATAATTAGTAAAATGTGAAAAAACCAAGGACTCTCTTCCGTTGTGTATTGCACCATTTAAGATGGTGCTAGATGTTTCCGATAATGAAATGACATTTTCAAAGAAAAACGTAAAAATCAATATGTGCAGATGATACAAATGTATGTACTTTTGTAAGTACCAGTAAAAATGAGACAGAAAGCACACTGAGATGGATCGGATACATGACAGCAACGTAAAAGTGCTAGGAAATGACCTAACCAGTTGTGTGCAGTGAGGAAAAAACTTTATGAAAACCATGAAAGGAAATTTAAATAAACGGAGAGACTTACAGTGTTCCTAGATTCAACGCTTGAGATTTTCATTTTCCTCTTGTACTTCATGCCAGCCCAAGAAAAATATCAAATAACCTGAAGTTCTTTTGAAACAGTAAAAACAAAGTGTAGGAAAAGGATTTGAATAAGATGAATAGGAAAGAAGTGTGACCTACCAGGATCAAAATGTTCATTAAAAATTACAATAAGTGGCCAGGTGCGGTGGCTCATGCCTGTAATACCAGCACTTTGGGAGGCCGAGCTGGGCAGATTACCTGAGGTCAGGAGTTCAAGACCAGCCTGGCCGACATGGTGAAACCCCGTCTCTACTAAAAATACAAAAATTAGCCAGATGTGGTGGCACATGCCTATAATCCCAGCTACTCAGGAGGCTGAGGCAGGAGAATTGCTTGAGCCCGGGAGGCGGAGATTGCAGTGAGCCGAGATCATGCCACTGCACTCCAGCCTAGCTGATAGAGCAAGACTTTGTCTCCAAAAAAAAAAAAAAAAAATTACAATAAGTATGCCAGGCACGGCTGCTCACACCTGTAATCCTAGCACTTTGGGAAGCCAAAGTGGGAGCATCTCTTCAACTCAGAAGTTTGAGGTTTGGTGAGCTATGAGTGCACCAGTGCACTCCAGTCTGGTGACAGAGCAAAATCTTGTCAAAAAAAAAAAGGCCAGGCGTGGTGGCTCCCACCTGTAACCCCAGCACTTTGGGAGGCTGAGGCGTGTGGATCACCTGAGGTCAGCAGTTTGAGGCTGGCCTGGCCAACATGGTGAAATCTCGTCTCTGCTAAAAATACAAAAATTAGCCGAGTGTTGTGGTGGGTGCCTGTAATCCCAGCTACTCGGGAGCCCGAGGCAGGAGAATCGCATGAACCCGGGAGACGGAGGTTGCAGTGAGCTGAGATCATGCCACTACACTCCAGTCTGGGCAAAAAGAATGAGACTCTGTTTCAAAAAAAAAAAACAACAAAAAACTAAAACAGTGTTGAATTCTTAAACAATTTATAAAATAAAGATTTTATAAAGAAAATCTTCATATAAAATAAAGATTTTATAAAGTTAACAGTTCAAATCAGTAGGGCTGGGAGGGACCACGAAAACAAAAATGCATTTAAAGAAAATTTAGGTAAATATACATATCACTTGAGGTGGAGAAGCACTCTCTAAGCATGGGAAAAAAGACAGACTGGAACTAATCCTCAGCGTAGAACGAACAGGTAGCAGCTGCCATTGACAGCACGTGTCACTTCCCATCTCTGGCATCGGTATCTTACAACCATTGTTTGCACAATGTGGTAACAGTTCCACAAGGTTTGACACTGCTGCAACCATTTTATGGACAAGAAACCTCTAGTACTGAGAGGTTAAACAATGCACCAAAGTCACGCAGCCAGTAATAAGTGGAGACAGAATGTGAACTCTGGTCTCTCTGACTGCCAAGCAAGGAGCCTCATTACTAAATGATAGTGTTTCTCAGTCGTGATAGATTTGACTACAGAAAAGTTAAAGTCCTATATTCAAAAAATACCACACACAAGTGAAAGCAAGATAAATTGGGGAAATGATTTGTGACATATCTAAGAGACAAAGCATTAATGGTCTTCATTATTGTTATGGTTTCAGTATGTCGCCAGAATTTGTGTGTGGAAGATTTGGTCCCCAGGGGAATGCGGGGCTTTCGAGAGGCAATCAGGTCAAGAGGGTGATGGCACTCCAACTGACTGGGTTAATTCTGCAGGCATGAGTCAGTTCTTGCTCTCCTGGGCCTGGACTCGTTACAGTGAGAATGGGTTGTTAAAAAATTACCACTCCAGCCTGGGCAACAGAGAGAGACTCTGCCTCAGGGAAAAAAAAAAAAAAAAAAAAAAATTATCCAATCCCAGGTATTGCAGTATTCTTTAATAGCAATGGAAAACAGACTAAGACAATTATGTAAAGAGCTTTTTCAAATAAATAAGGAAAAAATAGAAATATATTTAAAGGTCATAATTAGACAAAAACTAAAAATTTATGTGTAACCTCTTTTAGCAAAAAAAATAAAAAATAAAAATAAAAGAAAGCTTCCATTCCGGCGATCACTTTAGAAAACATTAAGCATTGGTAGCACCGCGTGTGTTTGAAACACGTGGAGATAAAGCCTTCCTGTGCACCAGATATGAAGGTCTTCAAACTGCGTACATGGTGCTGGTCGTTTGACTAATAGAAAACAATTGAGGCCGGGCGCGGTGGCTCAAGCCTGTAATCCCAGCACTTTGGGAGGCCGAGACGGGCGGATCACGAGGTCAGGAGATCGAGACCATCCTGGCTAACACAGTGAAACCCCGTCTCTACTAAAAAATACAAAAAACTAGCCGGGCGAGGTGGCGGGCGCCTGTAGTCCCAGCTACTCGGGAGGCTGAGGCAGGAGAATGGCGCAAACCCAGGAAGTGGAGCTTGCAGTGAGCTGAGATCCGGCCATTGCACTTCAGCCTGGGCGACAAAGCGAGACTCCGTCTCAAAAAAAAAAAAAAAAAAAAAAAGAAAACAATTGAACAGCATCCACATATGTCAGGACACATAGTGATTTCTCCCTGCATTGTCTGTCACAGGCAAAACTCCTATACTTGGGGTTTTGATACACAAATTTGTGAAATCAATAGATGAAATACAAAGGCATAGATGGCTAACTCTCCCCCAAAAGGGTGGGGTGCACATAACAACATTCATGATCTTTCTTCCCTGGGGAATGAGAAAGGTGAAGCTGGGAAACCATGAGCCCTGAAAATGATGGGGAAATCCCAGAAAACAAAGACCCAGAGAGGGAATGCCCAGACTCTGGCTGCCGGCACCCCTGAACCCAACAGGTGAGGAATAGACTGGAGGAAGCAGCCGGAGCAAAAGGCCAGAACTGAGGCGGGAGCTGCCGCACAGGAAAACAGTTCCAGTTCCAGCCTAGCCAAGAGCACTGCCTACTGAGACAAAGAAAAGGATATTCAACAGAGAAAAACAGTGGCATCTAGAATACACACAGTGTCACGTTCGTATGTCCATGGTACAGTTCAAAATTATTTAACATATAAAATCATTGTCTGTCTATCTATCTATCTATCTATCTATCTATCTATCTATCTATCTATACACATTCTTTAAGATACAATAAGATCAATCAAATCCAGTCCCTAAATGAACCAAATATTGTAACTAACAATCTCAGCAGAGAATTGGGAACTCTCATGAAAGAAATAAAAACAGTAAAAAAGAACAAAGGGGAAATTCTAGAACTGAAAAATACAGTTTCTGAAATTAATTCTTTACTCAATGGATTTACTAGCCAAATGGACATGACAGAGTAAATATACTTAAACCAACAGAAGTTGTCCAACATGAGAAACACAGAGAAAAGATACATTTTGAAACGAACAAAGCTTACAATTCTTACAGATTATATTAATTAGAATACTAGCTATAGAAATAAAATGGTGCAGAAAAAATATTAGAAGACATCATGACTGAAATTTTCCTGAATTTTAGGAAGGACATAAATTTGCACATGCACTAATGAACACTAAGCAGAATAAACAAAAACAAACATGCTAAGGCACAGAGTAGTCAAATTGCTAAAAGCCAAAGATGAAAAGCAATGAAAGTCAAGTTACATATTACGTACTGGTTAGCAATTAATCCAACTAACGACTGATATCTCCTCAGAAACTGTGCTAATTTTCTATTACTGTCATATCAAATTACCTTAATTAAATTAATTTGGAGACATAAAACAACATCCACGTATTATGTCATAGTTAAATAGACCAGAAGTCCAGGTACAAAGTGGCTCAGCTGAGCTCTCTGCTTAGGATTTTATGAGGATAAAACCACAAATAAGTACAGCTGTTTCTTTCTGGAGGTTCTAAGGGTAAATCCACTTCTGAGCTCATTCAAGTTGCTGGCAGAATCCAGTTTCATGTGGTTGTAAAGTTGAGGTCATTCTCAGCTTCTAGAGGTTGGCTGCATTCCTTGACTCATGGTCCCTTCTCTCATCTTCAAAGCCAACAATGGTGGGCAGAGTCCCACTCAGAGTTCACATTTCTCTAACTTTATCTTCTGCTTGCTCTCCCCTGCTGTTAGCTGGAGAAAGTTCTCTGTTTTAAGGGCATGTGTATTTAGATTGGGCCCAACTAGATAACCCAGGCTAATTTTTCTCTCTGAAGGTCCATAGCCTTAATTATATCTGAAAGTCCCTTTTGCCATTGGTCTTACTCCACATTGTGTGCTATAACAGAAGACCA